AAAGACAAGTGGTTAGTGTTGGTCACCACCTCTGCAAGCAGAACGTCATCCTGTCACGTTCTCATTAATAAAGCCATTCATTTGATTAGCGTTCATTACTTCCTAGCTCACAGTGCTTCTGTGAATGTATGAAGAGAAGTAAGTGACAGCCAGCTACTGGAAGACATTTAATGGAGGCAGTTATAGACAAGATCATGTCTCCATGAGGTAATTAACTTCACAACTCTGAAAGTAGCCAGTGCTGGTGCGGAGTAGCAGAGGGATCGCTGTGGAGTACTGTATACATCTACGATTCATTTCTAGTAGTAGAGGAATCACCGTGGAATACTGTATACATCTACGATTCATTTCTAGTAGTAGAGGAATCATTGTGGAGTACTGTATACATCTACGATTCATTTCTAGTAGTAGAGGAATCACCATGGAATACTGTATACATCTACGATTCATTTCTAGTAGTAGAGGAATCACCGTGGAATACTGTATACATCTACGATTCATTTCTAGTAGGAGAGGAATCACCGTGGAATACTGTATACATTTACGATTCATTTCTATTTGGGTAAGGCCTTTGCACACACTGTTTAGGAATATGTCAGGAAATAGCCCACTGGTCTTTGCTGAATTTTAGTTGCACCTCAAGCTTATGGGAAGGAAAAAAAATGTACTTACCAAAAGAAATGGAGAGGAACCATATGGAGAAAAATACTTTTGTCAGTTACGTTTGAAGTGAAACATTTTAGACTCTGATTTAAAGTTTTGACCTCAGAAGGGAAAGAGTATTCTGGCATGAATATAATAAGTATAAATGAGAACTTAAAAAACAACAACCCAGTATCACTGACTGATGGGTAAGGAAAGTCTGGGCTAACCATACCTGTGGTGAAATAATTTAAATTTTATTAGCCTATCAAACATGGGTAACATAATATGAAATTTTCTGGATCCTGCTATTTGCACGACTCATTCAGGAGGGTAAAATGGAAATTTTCCATCTTACATTTTTAGTTCTCCTCTTTAATTTGGCAAACACTGACTTTTCTTGCTGCATTTCTACCTGAGTGGACTCTTGTCAGCTGGGGTGAGTGTGTGCGTGAGCTTCTGTTTTAATAGCTAGGCATACTGTTATTGGTGCTATTAGCTCAACTTCTCCGTCAGCCGAAGTTCAGATTTGTTTCTGGCTAGAGGCACTCTACACGAACAGGGCCCTGATCATTGCTCTTTGCAAATCTGTTCATAGACTCCTGCTAGGTTGCTCGGATGCACTCGTGTAACAGTTCTCAAGTTTTGCTGTGAAGTTCTCTCTGGGAATGTTCAGTGATGGCTGTAGCCACACGGTCATGAATGCCTGTTTTGACTTCAGCCTTGAATCTGCAGCTGCGCAGGAGCTGTGCCTTCTGTGCCTTTCTGAGGCATAGCTGCCTTTGCTGACTGCTCCTCTATCGTTCTTTGAAGGCCAGCTCAAGCAGCCAGGCTACTCCACGTTACTCTGGAGGGAATTATTCCTGCCTCCTTCACCCTCCCTGCACACTTAGTGGCGTTCAACACTGACTACAAGAGACCGTGAACTTCATACACATGTGTAATGGCTAATCTTCACTGCTGATTCAATTTAGGAGCAGCCAGGAGGCAAACCTCTCTCTGGGTGTGCATTTTTGGGCATTTCCACAAATGTTTAACCGAGGAGGAAAGATCCACCCTGAATGTGGGCTGCACGATCCCACAGGTCCTCAACCCAATAAAAATGAGAAAGTGAGCCTGGCCGTGGTGGCATGTGACTTTAATCCCAGCACTTCTGGATTAAAGGCAGGGGTAGGTGGGTCTCTGTGAGTTCAAGGCCAGCCTGGTCTACAAAGCGAGTTCTAGGACAGCCAGGACTGTTACACAGGGAAACTGTGTCTCGGAAACACACACACACACACACACACACACACACACACACACACACACACACACATATACACACACGGGGGGTGGGGGGAACAGGGGATGAGAAAGTGGGAACAACCACATTCATTTCTCTGAATTCTCTGCCATGATGGACCCTGCCAAAACAAACCTCTTGGTTCCTTAAGTTTTTTTGTTAGGCATTTTGTCACAGTTATGAAAAGAAGCAACTACTGGGACTTCCTGTGCGCTTTTCATACAGCCAAGAGAGAATCCCTTTCTATTGTAGGGCAACAAGGTTGAAAGAACCCAGGGGTTCTGGGCCCACAACCCCAGCTGTGCCTGCAATTCTCTCATGTTCATGGCTTTGAGGAAAGATGAGGTGATCTACTCAAGAGCCTCGAGGTTTTACTCTATCCTAGGCACAGGACAGAGACCATAAGTCACACTTCCTCATGTACGGAGCCCGCCAAGCGTAATTCTCTTGGTTTCAGTGCTTGGACAGACAAGGTACACTTGAGCTGGCAGCAGGGCACTGTCTGCTGAGTCAGTTGTCCTGAGTCAGGGCTTGAGATGAATTCAATGTGGGTCTCTGGAGATGGGAGATGCTGGCCAGGCTACAGTTCCCACCTCTCTGGCTGGAAGGCTGCCAGGCATGAGTCCTAAGAACAAATGATGGGGAGGCTCATGGGAAGGGAAGGGTGCCGTCTCCGAACATCCTCACTTCCTTTCCCACTGTCTCCCTTCCCTCTCCTAACCAGTTCTGTTTGGAAGAAGCACAGATCTCATTCTGAGTCATGCTAGAGTTCTGGTAGCACTCCAGGGTCACTGAAACTCTTGAACTGTAAGCACATTACAGATCTACGTTCTTGCTCCCACCACAAAGCATTGTACCTATTTAGTGGTAAATGTGTTAGGAATATTAGAGACTCCTGAAAATGCCACCTGAATAAAATGCCATCCCCACTTTCAGGCTCAAAATAAAGAAGGGATTTTGGGGGAAATTAATGACTCATAACTTCCCCCACTATCTCATTTCCATGAGTCATTGATTGAAGTAGGGAAGAGTACTAAGGATTTTCTCTTGCAGCTTTGAGATTCCCATTGTGTAAGAAGTTTCAGAAGCTTTTTGTCAGGTTCCAAGACATCATTTCATCTCTATGCATCCAAACCACAGCATATCAATGTTACCTGAAATGCTGACAATGGTTTCTTCTTCTTCTTCTTTTTTTCATCCTTCACCCTGGCTTTACTTCTGCCTGGGGAATGGCACAAGACTGTAAGGAGCAGAGTTTCCCATGATGCTTTGAACTTGAGCAGCTTGCTCTGCTCCTGAAGGCTTCAGTTCATGAGGATGGGTTTTTATGTGAATGTCAGGCATGTTGCAATAACTAGCCACAATGGAATAATCATGGCAATTTCCACCATTTGGTTTCTTTGTTTTTGTGATGTTGCTGCATGCTTCATTTTATGAGTATTTTCTTTTCTTATGTGCGGTTGAACCCATCTATTGCCATCCCGGGCTTGGGCATTTGTATTTAAAAGGCGATGAAGACCAGAGAGAGAAACAGGAAATTGACAGTATGGCATAGCATAATGCTTACTGTTCTGTTCCTTCACCCTTTACTTCTGCTGACAGATACTCTGGTGTTTTATAGAGTTTATGTCTCCCTCCTAAAGAAAGGAGGACCATAACAAGGTCTAAGAAAAAGTATTGTGAAAAATTAGGTTTCTCCTGGTGATGTTGCTTATTACCACAGATTAAGACGTGGTAACACTTCTGCTGAAATAAGACACAAAAACTGCCAACAATCTTTTTGGTTTGGTGTTCTGTGTTAAGTCACTTGTGTCCTTAGGGGCTTCATTCTGACCACAGCATCTATTAAAATGCTACATTATATTAGAACGATAGCAGAATAGACTCTGAGGACAAGAGGAATTCTCTCTGTGTATATTGTATGTGTTTACGTGTTTGGGTGTTTGTGGGTGTGCACAAATCTGTGAGTGCACATGGAGGCCAGAGTTCCATGTAGGTGTCTTCCTTGATCATTCTCTCTCTCTGGGCAGGATATTTAATCAAACCCAAAGCTTACTGATTTGGGTAGGCTGGCTGGCCAGTGAGTTCCAGGGATCTGTCTGTGCACCCCCACCCCCTACTCCCCACTCCCAATCAGTGCAGGAATTACAAGTGTGCACCACGATGTTTTGGCTTTTCACATGGGTTCGGGGATGTGAACCCATGTCCCCACACTCCTAAGACAACATTTCACTACTGACGGAGCTACCTCCCAAACCCCAGACTAGTGAGTGGTATTCGAAGTGTCTGTGGCACCCAGTTCACTTCACCCACAAAGAGGAATAGAGTGAGACTCACTGCACAAAGGCCTAACTGGAGAATGCTGCCTGCAGTATAGGCACTGAATTCCAAGCTTGGAGTCTCTGCTTTCTGTGGCAATCCATAGTGGATCCACTAACAGTAAGTCTTTTTGTGACAGGCTCCTGAGGGCTCTGATCAAGCCTAGCAGAAGGACCACAACTTACAAAACCAGGGATGTTGAGATCTAAGGAGAATACCACTGCACACAAGCAGTATTTTCGAGGAGGGTGTGCCCGTTCCTCCCAGCCTATCTTCAAGTGAAACCCTGGTTACTTCCCCTTACCTTCCTTTGGCCCCTCTACTCCTTGGAAGATGTCACAAGGATCCTCTCTGCACTCCACAGCCAGTTCTGAAATAGTCACCAGCATCCAATCCCACACCTTAGGGTCCCTTTTGCCATCTTTCACTTTTCTGTTTTCACTCTCCCCACTTTTTACTACAAGGTTTGTCCTCTCTTGTTCCGTAGGATTGGACAACGGGTCCTGTAGAAGGGCGGACACACTTTTAGGTTAAAAAAGAAAGCCAAACACATAGGTCCAGAAAGGTGAAGAGTCTCTCTGCGGTTACCAGGCTCTGGAGTTTTATGGGAAGGAGCGTGTGCCGCCACCGAACAGAGACACTAGCTGGCCTGGTGACCAGGAGCCCGCCCCTATCCCTCCCCGCCCCCTCCGGCGCTCACACTCAGGAAGCAGCTGGCTGCGGGCCGGCCCTCGCGGCCGCACACACATCCACACTCCTCGCCGGGCAGCCTCCCTCCCTCCCGCCCTCTTCCCCTCTCCCTGCAGCAGCGTCCCTTACTGCGCCGCCCGGGCAGCCCAGAGCGCGGCGCGCAAGGGCACGGGAGCCAGGGGCCGCGCACCTCGGGGCCGCGGCGGGCCCGGGTCCAGGCTCGCACCGGCGCTCTCCAGCCGGGACCCAGCTCCAACAGCCAGCATCCCGAGCCCGGCCCCTCCACGCATCCCCCTCGGCCCAGAGCGAGGATGAGCGCCCGGGGCCAGGCACCCAGTCGCCACTCAACTTTGTAAAGACATGATTGGAGGAGTGTGTCTGTGCGGAGCGGGGACAGCGAGCTGATGCCGAGAGTCGGCCCGCTGCCCTGCCTCCTCCTTCCCGGGCCGCGGCCGTCGCAGCCGCCGCGCGCGCACACACGACCATCGGGCCGCGTTTCCGCGCTCCGGCCCCGGGCTTGGATGCGAGTTTTCATTTCCGAAGGAGGCAGAGCCCGCGTGGAGCGCTGAGGGGCTCAGCCCCCCACCCGTTCGTCGCCAGTGCTGTCACGCGCGGGCTGGCCGGGAGAAGGGACTCACGCGCCCAGCTTTGTTGTGGAAATCCGGTTACCTGGTAAGTGGATGCCATAGGAACTTTGTTCCGCAGGCGAGAGACAGAGCGAGGAGAAGGCGCTCGAGAGTGTGGGGGCGGTCAGTCTCAAGAGATGCAAACTCGGGATTAGAAAGAGTTTGTGCACGCCGGCTTGGTGGCGTTCGCGCGGGTTTGAGGACACGAGCACCCCAAGTCTCCAGACTCACAGGGCTTCTAGAGACCCAGGCACACCTTACCGAGGCAGATGGCAGTACTCATTTAGCCATCAGACTGGCTGTCAGTTACCTAAGAGCGCCGAGTGTAGACGGAAAGGAAACCAACAAGGTGTTGAAGTTTCGCTTATAGGGAGAGTCTCTGCCTTTTAAAAGATAACACAGGTCCCACAAGGCGACACAGTCAGGGCCAGTTAGCGCTCCGGCACGGTGCGCGCCATCCCTCGGGGTTCTACTTAAGGGAAACTTTGGCAAAGTGTGGAGTGATGGGGTGGCCTGAGGTCTTTCGGCCAGAGTCGGGGCAGTAGTTGTTTTTCCGGCTTCCACGTGTTTGTGGAGCGCCACGAAGGCTGTTTTCCACTTTTGTGTTCTATCCAAGTTGTTGTGCCCATTGTTCAGGGAGGTCCTCGGGTTCGGGGACACAGCTACTAGTCGGGAGAGGTGCAGCGACCCGCAGCCGCCAGGTTTTCAACTATAACCTCCCACACCACGAAATCGCAGACCCGTTCAGACACCAACACTCCCCGCCGGGTTCGTCACCTCGCGTGTACATTTTTATGGGCCGGGACAAAATGTCAGCACTGTTTGGGGAATGTCTCAGTCTCGGGGACTTTGTCCTGCTTCAAGTCTCTGGTCCCTATAAATGACCCTGTGTCTATTTTGAAGTCGTCCGGGACCACTTTCTGGAAAGCGTGAGTGAGCTGTTGGCAATCCTAGACACACACCTTGCCCCAAGCGACAGTTCCCAGTTACTCACTAGAGCTGACAAGTCACCCAGGGGACGAGGAACTCACCCAAGTGTCTGAAAACCTTGGCCCGGGTGGATTTGTCATCCTATGGATGATTCAAGTAGGTACCTGGAGGGAGACATTGGGGTAAGGGTTCTGGCTCCAGGAGGTCGCGCCCTTGGACCTGGTAAGTAGTCTGTTTGGGAGGCGACAGCAAAAGGACACGGGGGGGGGGGAGCACTCGCACAGGACGCGGGTGGGGTGCGGGGCGGTGCGCACCCAAGTGCGGCTCCTGGGGTTCCGGGGCTCCGGCCCGCAGCACGAGGGTCCCCTCGGTCGGTCGGTCCCGGCTTCCTAACTGGCGGCTGGCGGCGGCCTTTCTGCCCCCGATTTACTCAGTACCGGGTTGCACAACAGGAAGCCGGCACGAGTTTGTTTTGTTTTGTTGCGTTCGCTTGCTCTCTGGCTGGCTGACACGCCGCGGGTGAGAGGCGGGGGCAGAGCGGGGGCGGCCGGGTTTCAGCGAGCACCACTAGGGGCCCTGGCGCCTCCACCTCCGGTCCTGCCCTCGCTTACCTCCGGGGAGCCCAGGGGCCAGGACCCAAGACCCCCGCGGGGCAAAGGTGTGTGTATTTGTGTGTGTGTGTACGCCCGCGCGCGCGTGTGCGTGCTTGTGTTTGTATTGTTTGGGGGGGGGGATTGTTGAGCCCAAGCGGGCAGTCTACCCACTGTTCCGGGCCTTACGCCTAGGCCCTGCAGCCCCACCACCACTCCTGGCGCCTCTGCCCTGTGTACCTCTCTTCCTGGCTTGGCCTCTTTTGACACCAGCTTGGTCCTATGGAATAGAGGGTAGGGGGTCACTTCCGGAGTCCTAGGGAGTAGTGTCCGCAGGGACACTCCAGCACTTGCAACCCTGTCTCTCCTGGAGAGGACACCTTCCCAGCCCCGCAGAGCCTCTTTCTAGGACATCTCTTGAGAATTGGGTTGGTGGTCCTAGTGATTCCAGAGTTGGCTAGGAAAGAGAGAAGGTATGTATACAGCTCCCCCCAGTGGACCAGATCCCTTTGGGTTATGGGACCTGGAGTGCCCAGTGGGAACTGTTAAAAGTCCTGGGGGGAGGGAAGAGGGGGGGAAATCAAGACCCTGAGACTCCAGGGGTTTTGCCTAAGAACCCCTGCCAAACTTAAGCATCCAGGAAAAACACTAGAGTTTCTCAGTTGAGAGCGGTTCTTGGCCTGAAGGTGAACTCAAGACAAATGCGAAGTGTCTTCTGTCCGCACTGAAGCTCTGATGAGTCATGCTTTCTGCCTTGGGTGGTAGCCAGGCCCTGTCCCCAAATGTCTCCTTGCCCACTGGACTTCACTTTGTAGACTCTATGAGGAACTCTTAAAATTGTAAAAATGGACTTGAGTTTAAATCTTACCCCTGCCCCCCTTTTCTCTCTTGTTTGCAGTGAGGCTACATAGAGCAGGTGAACCTGCAAAAGTTTGCAGAAAAACAATGAAAGTTGTGCCTGGAAACGTTGACATGATCTAAAGAGAGAGCTCTGTGAGAGTGTATGCCTCCCCCTTTCTTCTCCAGGGAGAACTGCTTACATTTAGTGACTTGACTAGAATTTACCCCAGTTTTCATCGAGAATATTCTCATTCTTACTAGTACCTTATTCATTTCTTTTCTCCCATGCCAGGAGGACTCAGCCCTTCTTGAGATTTGAGTTAATTCTGTGTGCTCTGGGATGATGCCCTCTCTCCTCGCTTCTCTTGAGGTCACTCTGGGTAGAGTGGCCTTTCTACAATTCATTGGTTCTACCATAGTTCCCACCACTCAGGCTAGCAGAGGTTGGATGACTGAGGTTGGTTGGTTTGCTTGGGAGAAAGTGGTTCTTACTCTAAATGGGAAGTAACTCTCTTTCTGGGATGCACTCCAGACTCTACCTAGTGTGGAATTTTTACCTGGCCAAAAAAGAATGGCGAGAGTTAAGTACATGGAAGTGATAGTTTGTAAAAGCCCTGCCTTTACTTATGTGGCCGGGGTGGCCCTTCTGCAGTTTTAGAAGACAGGTCAGTGTTCACGTTACCTTTTTCCTACTAGGAATATTCTGAGGATAGTCTGTCTGCATTGTCCTCTCAGGTCAAGGTTGCTGACCATTGGAGTTGGGATGTTAGTGTTTAGTTCTCCCTGACTGTAGGAGTTATTTTGAAGGAGCAGATCCAGGAAGAAGGACCAGAGCACACTCTTACCCTTGGAGAAGTCATTTCCTGTGTTTCTGCAATTATTTTTCTATAGAGGAAGTTTTATTATAAATAAGGAGTCAATACAGGATTAACCCTTTTATGTTTGGCTAGTTCATAAACTCAGTCAGGACTGAAGGAAAAAAAGGCACATAGGTAGTCTTTGCAATAAAAATACGATGACATCCTTATTCCAGGAGAAAGAGACAAAATTGAGTCTTTAATATGACATTAAGATGAGCTGAATTTTTATAAAAGATGCCCAAGCTTAAGGTTTTCCTAGTTACCACTTACTTTAGGCAGAGTTAACACAAAAGCCAACATTTTTGTTGAGGCAGAACAAAATATCCATGTGGAAGATCACACCTGTCAGCTTCATAAACAGGACACACCCAACAAACTGGCATCCCAGGAGCATCTCTCACAGGTCCCTCCAGGGACTGCCTCCCTTTAAGACAGTGGTTCTTAATTTGTGGGTTGCATATCAGACATTTGCATTACAATTCATAACAGTAGCAAAATTACAATTATGAAGGAGCAACAGAATAATTTTATGATCAGGGGTCACCATGACATGAGGAACGGTATTAAAGGGTCACAGCACTAGGAGGGTGAGAACCACTGCTTAAAGGTAACATTACCTTCACTTCTAACACTTGTGTGAGTTTGCCTGAACAAGTGTCTTACGGAACTGGAATGGTTCCAGCTTTGTTTGATATGCTCGCGACTTTATAGTAGGTCAGATAATCTGGGTTTTCCTTTAAAGGCGATGGGAACAGTTTGGCGTAGAGAAAGTAGTTGTTTGAGCATTACTTAAGGTGATAGAATTAAGGAGAGATACAAGTGAAATGGATCATATCTATACCGGTCGGCAGTCTGGTACCTACCTTTGTAACATGCCTGGTGTGATTCCCGGTGAGCAGGAAAAATGTTAAGAGAATGCGTTGGTAGCCCTGGTATGAGGGCCAACACTCCACAGCAAACATAGCTTAGTACTGAATTGACTGAGAATTGTCTACCAGAATGTGAAGATTCAGGCAAGAACATTGTGTCTACCCAGAGGATGGGACAGAATTTCTGTGTTACTTTTTCTTACTTAGCGAACAGAAGAGAGATGGGAATGAGCAGGGTGGAAAGCATACAGCTGTAATTAAACTGGATCTTCAGGTCACAGGGCATGGGACTGATTATTGCATTGTCACATGCCACTTATATTTATTCAGATAATAAATGATGAGGGCAGACTATAATTACATATCTCACTTTTATTTTCTGCGTAATATGAATAACATAAAGGTAGTAAATATGTACATGTGTAAATTAGTATTGAAATATACGTATGCTAAGTCATGTGTGAAAAGGATAGATACATTATATGTAAATGTGTAAATACATTATATGACCATCTCTAAATACAAGGGCTGGGGGGAGTTCCCATATAAACTAGACATAACCGCAAAACTCAATGGAAGGAGACTTTAGACAGGGAAATGAAACATAGGCAAATAGCCACAGAGCACTGAAGAATGGGAGGAATGTGAAATGAAAAATGTATATGGAGGAAAATAGTTAGCATTTGTTGGGTTCTTTATGTCCTTGGCACTGTACTAAGAATGTGACATGCATTTTCTCATTTGCTGCTCTGTAATGCCATAAACAGTGCCCAATAGTGTGAGTATCCCCATCTGACAGATGAGAGCCATGGAGACAAACACAGGAGTGTGAAGGGCATACAGTGGCCTTGGAGAGTTCGTAGAAGTGGGCTTGTGGCTGCTTCATTTGGCAAAACTCATGCCTTGCAAGTAGGAGGACCGTGAGATGAATGTTTTTCCAACATTTTCAGCATGACC